CATCCTCCACTGCCTTCCTGGGCCACAGCAGAGAGCTGGCCTGGAAGGGGGGCAACCAGGACAGAATCCGGCGCCCCGACTGGGACTAGAACCCGGTGTGCCAGCGCCACAAGGTGGAGGATTAGCCTATTGAGCCGCGGCGCCGGCCAATAATTTACTTTCTATCACCTTGCTTACAAGTGAGCTTCATGAAGGTAGGAACATTGTCATAGAAAAAAATGCCTAACATATAATAGACATTTTTAATTCCTTTTGAAGGAATGAATGGCTTAATAATTGAGACTTCATGAAAGCAGTTTTCAAATAAATTTAAGGAGAGAAATAGAGAACAGTAAAGTAGAAGGAGCACAGGAAGAAGAGTCTGGAAGGCTGGGTTCTACTTTGAGCTCTACCCTCACTTGGTGAAGTGTATAACCTTTGGCAAGTCCCTAAATATCTCTAAAGTCTCTCAAAGTCCCCTCTGAATTGTATGTTCTAATGAAGGTCTTTGGACAATGACCTCTCTTTTCTAATTAGCTATGACCCAAAGTGGGGCCAGTCTTATGGTGCAGTGAGTTAAACTGACACCTGCAATGCTACTGGCATCCCATATTGGAGCAAATATTTGAGTCTCAGCTTCTCTGCTTCCAATCCAGTTCCTTGCTAATGCACCTGGAAAAACAGCAGAAAATGGCTTAAGTACCTGGGACCCTGACGCCCATGTGAGAGACCTAGATGGAGTTCCTGGCTTCAGTTTGGCCCAGCCCTGGCCATTGGGGCTTTTTGGGGAGAGAACCACCAGTGGATGGATGATCTCTAACTCTCTCTTAGTTACTGCCTTTCACATAAATAAATATTATTTTTAAAAATACTATTTAATGAAATACTAATGTGCATTTTTAAAAAATATTTATTTCATTTGAGAACAGAGATAAAGACAAACATAGAAAACTTCCATCTGCTAGTTCATTCCCCCTAAATACCAGCAATGCCAGGGCTAGGCCAGGCCAAAGTCAAGAGTCAAGAACTCAATGCAGTCTCCATGTGGGGATGTAACTACTTCAGCCATCCTGGTTACCTCCCAGGGTGCGTATCAGCAGGATGATGAAATCAGGAGCAGAGCCAGGACTCAAACCCAGACATTTTGATATGGGGTATATGCATCCCAAGTAGAGTCTTGACTTAGGAAAATACTTGCCCCTGATATGTGCATTTTTAGATAGTCTATATATCTGATATGTCATAGGTTGTACATTAGCATATTTATTAACTAAAATAATAGGGCTATGCTGTAGACTAGTAGCTATTTCATTTTTGGTTTATGTTCTGATGTCACTTGTTACATAAAATTATGGCATTTTTTTCCTTAAACATTTCTCCGGGGGCTTCTGTATTTATTCTTGTACCTATGTATCTACTTTAAACAATTTTACTAATTTAAGGGCTGCTTTTAGAGGAGGTTCATTATTGTTTGAAGGATGTGTCCAAAGAGAAAGAATTGACAAGATTTACCCATACAAGCCAAAGAAACCAACTATGTAATTTAGACTGCCTATCTAGAATTGGAATTACACTTGTCCAGCAGCCAAAGGAGAGACAATACCTGCTTGACAGTCAGCATTTTATTATCTTCATTATCATGTTTTCTGAAAGTGCCAAAGGCAAAGGACAAGTTGAATCCTGCTGCAAGAGAGGCCTGAGAGTGTTTGCTCTAAGGTTGGAAGAGGAGGTAACTGGAATTCTTGATATCTGGAGCTCCAATTTCACCTTTGTCCAACCAGTGCATTCTTAGGGAAGGCAAAACATTTATAGGCAAAGAAAGAACAATCTTTAATAGTTCTTCCCTTCATTTATTTGTCACTCATTCTGAGCAAGAATGTACTCCACATCAATATTTTCCAAATTTATCTGTAAGTTCACAAATTGTGTAAAATGTAAGATGTACACTTTCTATCTCAACCCAGTCCATACACACATATATATGTGTGTATGTGCATGCACACACACTCACTTAAAAACTGAAATGAAATTTCTTAAAAATAATTTTATCCTAACTATGTTTGAGTAATCTGCTAATTTTTATTGTTTCTTTTTTTTTAAATGTGCTGATTATGAGTCAATTAGTTTCATGACACTCTCTGGTGGTTTGATAAAAGGGAAAATACTTCTGTAGATGATTTCAATGGATTCAGAGGGAAATTATTACCCTTCACCAACAAAGAAAGCATACAGGCGGCTGAATTATTAACAGAAATCCAAACACCTTTCAATGAATGGGAATCCAAATGCAATGAAATTATATAGACCCTTATCTCCTACCCATAGACAAAAATTAACTCAAAATGGGAAAGGATCCATGTAGAAGAGGTAACATTATTAAATTAAAAAAAACATAGGCATCAAACTTCATGACTTTTAATTAGGTACTGATTTCTTAGTTGAGAAACATAAAAAACAGCATAAGAAAAATAGGTTATTTGGAGAATTCATTAAAAAGTAAAACTTTAGTGTTTCAAAGGGCAACATAAAGAAGTGAAAAGATCACCTACATAATGGGAAAGTTTTTTATTCAAGTTATATGTCAGATAAGAAGTAGGTATCCAGAAAGTATAAAGAACTCTTACAACTTAATAATAAAAAGACAAAGAACTCAATTAAATAGTAGACTAAATATCTGCATAGAAACCTCAGACATTCTCTAGTATTTGAGGAAAGAAGGAAGGGAGGGAGGGAGGGAGATGGGGAGGAGAGAGAGGGAGAAGGAAAGGAAAATAGAAAGAGGGAGAGTGATTATTTCTTGGGATCTTTGATCATTTGGTATTTTTTTGGGGTCAGGAAACAGAAGCCTGGGAGAAAGGACCTGTGTGAGCTTCAGGACCAGTGTCATAGAATAATCCCTTACCACAAACTCTTCAAATCTTGGTGTGGAAGGGGATGATGATCCGATGCCTTCACCAAATAAAGGAAAAAAACTCCTAACAGCTGTAATTCATTTCTCAAGACTATATGTTTAATTTCAAAGAAGCTAGGATTAGAGGAGTTCGAGAATTATATGATTTATTAAATATTATTATATAATAAGATAAAAGTACGGAGAACAGAAGGAAAAAGAAACATGAAGGAGGCAGATCTTAGACACAAAACATACATGTGCCATGGTGACCTTAGATCTGTTGGACATAGGCATAAGATTTCCAGTGTTGTGAAACAGAGGTTAGGATGGGAATAATTCACATGGATATTGGGCTAGAATCACTGAATGTGTCCAGGGGTACTGGTCAATTTAAAAAAAATAAACTTGGTATTCTGTTAGCGCCCTCTGTAATTCTCTTCAGAAGCAACTGAATGTGGAATTTCTACTTGGTGTACTAAGCTTCTCCTTCTTACATTTTTCTACTACCACTAGTTACCAGGCATCTTCATTTTTTATTCTGGGAGAAAGTCTATTCTGCAGGAGAATTTCCCCTTTCCTCCCAAATTATTTATAAATAGCTGGCCGAGGGGACTTTTGCAAAAGTTTGATATCTACACGGAAGAGTAAGCCTAGCACAAAGGCACAGTGACAAAAGAGTGAGGGGAAATGTGATGACTTCTAGTCTGCTATCTGATTGCTTCAGGTTATCTCTAACCTGTCACAATCTTGGACTTTAGTCAGAGCATCATAATTAGCTATAATATGGAGAAGGAAATACAGCTTTTTAGTTGCCACACTGTCACTATAATAAAATCTTGGTCCTATTAGAAATGAAGAAGGATACAATGCATATTCAGTAGGTGATTAGTAGTCACTTCCATGTCTATGTAATTCAAAATATTTTTCCTATTTTTAGAAATGATGGCCTCAATTGTTAAAAAGAATGGTGGAAAATACTAGAGGGACTGGCATTGAAGAAGGTTCTTTTTTGGACAAAATAATCATAAATTTCTTTTGCAAAACTTTTTAAAGTATATAGAATATATCTTCTTATAGAGAAGTCAAGGTTCTCAAGATTGTTTCAGAAAACACTATGGAAATTTATGATCCTAGCAGCTCTGTGGTAAGCAGGACAAAGTAACTTTCACAGAGGATTAAACTTGGGCACAGAAAGAATAAGTATCTTTCTAAATCATAGCTGTTAGCTCTAATTCATTCTCTAGTTTAGCCACATTAGCATTGTGTGGGTAACTTGTGGGAATCTTCCATGCAGGGCTTTGATAGTATTGGAATGGTGGGGGGGTTGCAGGCAAACATGGCACCAGTGTCAAAGTAATCTGCTTTAGGGCTGGCACTGTGGCATAGTGGGTAAAGGCACCAGCTGTAGTGCTGGCATCCCATGTGGACGCTGGTTCAAATCCTGGCTGCCCCACTTCTGGTCCAGTTCTCTGCTATGGCCTGGGAAAGCAGTGGAAGATGGCCCAAGTTCTTGGGCCCCTGTACCTTCATGGGAGACCAGGAAGAAGCTCCTAGCTCCTGGCTCCTGGCTCCTGGCTTCAGATCAGCGCAGCTCCAGCTGTTGTGGCCATCTGGGGAGTAAACCAGAGGATGGAAGACCTATCTCTCTCCCTGCCTTTCCTTCTCTCTCTGTATAACTCTGACTTTCAAGTAAATGAATAAATCTTTAAAAAAAAAAAGTAATCTGCCTTCTCTTGAAGTCTTCTGCCTCCGAATCATTACATATTTATCAAATAGAGCTGGAATTCCCACATCTACTGTTTTGTACTCTCTTTCATTGTAATGTGGCAGAAAAAAATTGCTATTGTGCAGGTACTGTGTGGCTTTGGGGTCCTCTGTAGGTTGACCCCTTCTGAGGCACAACTTGGTAGGTATGAACATTTGATCACATGATTAGTAATGATAGTAGCCTAGCCTCTATTTATTTATGCATAAAGATATAGAAATATTAATCATATTTAGAGTTAGAGACTATCTAATAATTGACACAAAAATATGAAAATAAGTGATTATCCAGAGTTTAGGGAAACTGAAAATGCTGTGTATATTTTACATACTCAGATGTCATGTCATTCCTGTTTTCACTTACTTATTCAGTTAAGCTGAGGTTTTGTAGGTGGCAGGTCTGCTGAAAAGGAAAAAATAGTCAGTCATAATATTGTGTCATAAGGAAAAATGTGGTTATTAAAGTTTATTTTTTATGCATTGGTGAGGCAGAGGGAGAGAGAGTGAAAATGGGAGAATGTTTCCATCTGCTGGTTCTCCCCTCAAATTCCAAAATGATTGATTGTGGTGGGGCCAGAGCCAGGAGCTGGGAAAACAATCTAAATCTCCCATGAGGTTCAATTAGTTGGGTCCATCTACTGCCTCACAGGGTCTAAATTAGCAGAAAGCTGGAGTCAGGAGCTAAAATTGTGACAGAGTTGAAGTCAGGCATTAACTGCTAAGCAAAATGTCCATTCTTGACCCTTAACTTTAAAAGATTTTGTTTATTAGAAATGTAGAGCAATAGAGACAGGTGAGTCTTTTTAAAAAGGTATTATCTATCTATCTATCTATATTTACTTTTTGGCTTTTATGTTTGTTTATTTTCTTTACTTAGGACAGAGAGATCTTCAATCCACTGGTTCACTCTCCAAATGCCTGCAACAGTCAGGGCTAGACCAGGCCAAACCAGGAGTCAGGAACACCATCTAGATCTCCCATATGGGTGACAGGGACCCAAGTATTTGAGCCATCATCTGCTGCCTACAAGGGTGTGCATTGCCAGGAAGCTGGATTAGAAGAGGAGGCAGGACTCAATCCCAAGCATTCTGATATGGGATGTAAGAGTCTCAAGTGGTAGCTTATCCCACTGTGTTAATAATGCCTGCCCTTGAAGTACCTTTGTATTTGATAATTTTTAGTCTATTGTAAATACTACTCTGATTCTTACTAATAAGGTTTTATCCTTTGGCAGTATGAGTCTCATGAAATTGGTCTTGAATCTTTTTGACATGACCACAGCCATCTCTCATAGTTTCCTTTCTTCAATATGACAATCTGTCCCAGAGCTGAAAGTTAGCTTTCAACATTTAATTTCATAGTGCATTGATAGATCCAGTGATGGGGGGCCTTGTTATGTTTTAATGTATCTGAGGAGAGTTTAAATTTAGCTGTTGAAAGGTTAACCTCCTTATAGAAGTGAAATTGACACTTTTAGATTCAGTGACTTGAATAGTCCTTGATCTGACTGTCCAGGGGCAGTTTATCATTGCTACTTTTTATTTTGTATATCCTTTTTTGTTGTTGTTGTTGTGTTGCTGTTTTTCCTGTTTTCTTTTTTTTATAGATTTTTTTTGTTTTTTAACTTTTATTTAATAAATTTCCAAAGTACAGCTTATGGATTACAATGGCTTCCCCCCCATAACTTCCCTCCCACTCACAACCCTCCCATCTCCAGCTCCTTCTCCCATTCCATTCACATCGATTCATTTTCAATTCTCTTTATATACAGAAGATCAATTTAGTATATATTAAGTAAAGATTTTAACAGTTTGCACCCACATTGAAACACAAAGTGTAAAATACTGTTTGAGTACTAGTTATACCATAAATTCACATTGAACAACACATTAAGGACAGAGATCCTACCTGGGGAGTAAGTTCACAGTGACTCCTGTTGTTGACTTAACAATTTGACACTCTTGTTTATGACTTCAGTAATCTCCCTAGGCTCTTGTCATGAGTTGCCAAGGCTATGGAAGCATTTTGAATTTGCCGACTACAATCTTATTTAGATAAGGTCATAGTCAATAGTCAAAGTGGAAGTTCTCTCCTCCCTTCAGAGAAAGGTACCTCCTTCTTTGATGGCCCATTCTTTCTACTGGGATCTCACTCGCAGAGATCTTTCATTTAGGTGTCTTGTTTGTTTGTTTTTGTTTTTCCAGAGTGTCTTGGCTTTTCATGCCTGAAATACTCTCATGGGCTCTTCAGCCAGATCCAAATGCCTTAAGGGCTGATTCTGAGGCCAGAGTGCTGTTTAGGACATCTGCCATTCTATGAGTCTGCTGTGTATTCCACTTCCCTTGTTGAATTGTTCTCTCCTTCTTAATTCTATCAGTAGTATTAGCAGACACTAGTCTTGCTTATGTGATCTCTTTGACTCTTAGACCTATCAGTATGATCAATTGTGAACTGAAATTGATCACTTGGACTAGTGAGATGGCATTGGTACATGCCACCTTGATGGGATTGAATTGGAATCCCCTGGCACGTTTCTAACTCTACTATTTGGAGCAAGTCAGATTGAGCATGTTCCAAATTGTACCTCTCCTCCCTCTCTTATTCCCACTCTTATATTTATTCCTGTTTTCTTTCTCTTTTTTTTTTCTCTGCTTCATACTATATGCTGAACTCCTCATGTAACATAGAGTTAACCATATGTATTTTAAGTCAATTGGAAGAAGATCCTAGCTAAAAATAAGAGGGGGAATAAGAGATGAAGGAGGTAGTCTATAACTATGAAACAGTATAGTTCTGCATACAGTCCTACAGACATACTTCTAAGGGTACAGCCTAAAAACTTGTCACAGGACTCCAAACCCATAAAAATTAGTGGTTTAAATGCCACCTTAACTGTTAAAATGATCATATTAAATGTCAAAGTCAACATCTAGATGGGTTTAAATGTAAAAGTGATCATATAAATAACATCAAGTGCCTGGTAATTATAGAATTAAAAAGGAAGGAGGGTCCAATATGGGAAACAGTCCACACAGCAGACTCCTAGAATGACATTCATTGTAAATAACACTCTGACCTCAGAATCAACCCTTAAGGCTTCCTGGTCTGGCTGAAAGGCCTGTGAGAGCATTTCAGGCATGGAAAGCCAAGACTCTGTGGCAAAAAAAAATCCTACACGGAGGATCTCTGTGAGACCTCAGTGGAAAGAAAGAGCCATCAAAGAAGGATGTACTCTTCTCTGAAGGGCGGAGAGAACATCCACTTTGCTTATGGCAGTGTCCAAATACCAATGGAGTCTATGGTCACAAAAGGCTTACATAGCCTTGGCAGCCCATGGCAAGAGCCTTGGGTGATCACTGATGTCATAAATAAGAGTGTTAATTGTTAAAGGAACAACAGAAGTCACTGTACACTTACTCTCCATGTAGGACCTCCATCCCTAATATGTTGTACTATGAGAATTGACTGCAAATTTTGTTCCCAAATTATACTGTATATGTTATGTGTGTGCATGGGTGCAAATTGTTGAAGTCTATGCTTAGCATGGAGTTGGTCCTCGGTATATAAAGTCAAACTAAAAATGAACCATAATGAAGAGGGAGATGCAAGAGGGAGAGCGAGGTGGGATGGGATTTAAGTGGGGGGTGGATATGGGGGAAAAACCACTGTATTCCTAAAGTTGTATCTATGAAAAATGCATTCATTAAATAAAAACTTAGAAAAAAAGAAAGGTTAACCTCCTAACAGAAGTTAGGAGTCCATATGGGTTAATAGGCAGTCAGGTTGGTCCCAGTGGAAATTTAGGGTGTAAAATGCTTGCTTTCCCGAAAAGTTACCTTCAGCCAGGTCAAAAGTGCCTGCCCCATTTCTAAGAAATTCCCTATTTTACCATGAGAATAGCAAGGGAGTAGTATTCCATCCTTCTGAGCTCCCAGTTTACTATAAAACAAAATAGGTATCCCACCCTTCTGATGGCTCTTTTGTTTTAGCACGAGCAAGCCAGACAGAGTAAAAAGATGACAAATCACATCTTTTGATGGGTTTGTCCCTGCCTTGTATTGACTGACAGTTTCTTCTCCAAAACTGCTTTAAAAACCCCAGTACCACCAGCCTCTTTCGGTTTTTCTTCTCTTGGAGCCCTTCTCCAGGCCACTCTGGCTGGAGGTCTCTGACTTAAATAAAACTTGCTTTTAAATAGAAACAAGAAAGTATAAGTAATTTTGTTACTAAGACAAATTATGCAGAAAAATATGCTTTAAAATATTCAATTACTTAGTATAGTGGTATACTTATTTTCACTGTATTTCATGATTAGGTCCATATTTGGTGAAAACTGACTTCTGAGAGAGATCTCTGTTACAATGTGGTGGAATGAGAAGGCCATGCCAAGATGGCCACTGGCAAGCAAGCGTCAGTTACTCAGGAATGGCTTGGAACCCACCTGGCAATGGAGCCTGCCTGGCAACAGGCTATGATTAGATGGCTTCAGATACTGCCTGGCAACAGGCTGTGATTGGTTAGGGCATAAACCGCCCCTTGACCGGATTGGCTGCCTTGGCTATTTAAGCTACTGTATCAACTGAAATAAACGAGTCTGCGGGCTGCTCGCCTCTGGCCTGCTTTCACCTGGCTCCCGGGGTCTGTGTGGTGACTCCACACCTCTTGCCCCTACTACACTCCTCCTCTCAGAAACGAATCCACAGCAACAACATTTCATGTCAGCTTTCATCCCTCTTTAATCTTTGTTACTAAAGATTTATTTATTTGAAAGGCAGCATTTACAGAAAAAGAGACAGAAAAGGAAAGGCAAAAAGACATATCTTCCATCCTCTGGTTTACTCCCAAAATGACCACAACATTTGGAGCTGAGCCAGGCCAAAGCCTGGAGCTTCACTGTGGTGTCCCATGCGGGTGGCAGGCCATCTTCCACTTCTTTTCCCAGGCATAGAGTTGGTTTGGAAGTGGAGCATCTGGGACTCAAACTGGTGCTCATATGGGATGTTTGTATGGCATGCAGTGGCTTAACCCGCTACACCACAAAGCCAAGCCCATTTCTCACTAGTCTTAAAACAGAGGTCTTCCATGTGATAATATCCTGCTATTATACTAAACGATAGAAATCATCTTTAGCTTTGTAACAACAGCTACAGCTCTCCCTTGTAATCATGAGTATTTAATTCATTACTCAATGCAACAAGTAATAATTGAGCTCTAGCTTTGAGTAAAAGCAATCAGTTGGGCCTTATGAAATACATGAGCAATAAATAGGGGCTGGCATTGTGGCATAGCAGGTAAAGCTGCCACCTGTAGTGTCAGGATCCCTTGTGGGTGCTGGTTTGAGTCCTGGCTGCTACACTTTCTAATCCACCTCTCTGTTACAGCCTGGAAAAGCAGTAGAAG